GCCCCTTTGCGAGGGCGACGTGCACGTTCGAGAGGACGGCTGGCCCTTTCGGCGGCCGACGCGCGGGCGGTGCACGGGCGACGAATGCGCGGCGCACCTCCTGTCGCGAAGGGGGGGGGTCAGCACGCCGGTCGCTTTACTGGGCCTTAACATGCAGCAGCGGGAGTTTCGAAGTTGATGACGTTATGCCTCCTCAAGCGCTTGGCAGTGGAGACTCCGCCGTGCCGAGCTCTGAACGTGGTGGGCGACTTGACGACGCGCGCCATCGGAGGACCGCGGACAGTGGTCACGAACACGATTGCCAGCTTGGAGATTGTTACTTCGGAGTTGGAGCCGAGGAAGCTGCCGATCAATTGGGGCATGGCCAAGTTCATGATGTCTGACCATGGCCAACTACCGGAATGCGCAGGATTCCAGGTGGAGGCTTTCAGACGACAAGCTGGTCATCTCTGGGCGGCAGAGCTCGACGAGTTGGCGCGCGGGCGTCGATGTGCACATCAGCTCGCAGTATTGGAGTGGCCCTGAGACAGCTCGGGCAGAGTGAAAGCATAGCCGTGTCTATCGTTTAGGAGCGCTTGCTGAAACCACGTGGGGATCCCATACTTTGGGGATTCTGCCGACTACCCTCCATGAGCTTCGGGTTCAAGCTGCGAGATCCTGGGGCCCCCTCCTTCCTGGTGCGTCCCTGGGCTTCAGGTTTCTCTCGGCCTTCCCTCTCTGGATCAGGGGCCCGCTTTTGGTGGCGGTGGTATCGGCTGTAAAGGAATTCGTTAGTGTTTGGCGGGCCCTCACGATTTCCAAACCAGTTTTAGAGTCATGTGTTCAGGGCGCCCAGGCGGTCCAGGGGTGCAGGGCCCCCTGAGGTCAAGTTCGCCAGCCTGTTGCTGCGCTTTCCCTGCAGCTTTCTCGGATCCACCGGGCGTTTGATGTTTCGAAGATGGCCTTGGTGGATGACCTCAACAGAGAGTGGTCGATGGATCGTCTCTCGCCCAAGTGTTTTGTGTTCCTTTTGCGCGGCTCGATCGTTCGGGCCATTGAGCGGGGGGAGCAGCTGAAACAGTTCGATCTCTGTCAGTGGGGCGCGCCTGTGTTCTTGCAGCCCATTCACCAGCTCCTCGGGCGCAAAGGCTCAAAGGCTTGGACTAAATCGCACAAGGCGGCACTCTCGGCGCTCGCAGCGAATGCGTACTGGTCCCAGCGCAGAGTTTGCGAGCACAGCCCCGAGGCCCCCGACCAATGTCAGCTCTGCAGTGACGGCAAGGGCACTCTGTACCACCGCAGGTTTTAATGTGTAGCTTTCGCTCCCTGGCGCCGCGAGAACTAGAACCTGATTCCGGTCGTTGCGAAGGCTGCTCGGCGAGTTGGAAATCTTCCGACCTCGGTCGGGGAGCTTTTTTGCAGGTGCTTGTTTCTCAGCCCCGCGTCCTGAGTCAGGACCCCTCCCCGAGACCCCTCGGGCCCGTGCGCCCGACGCTGGCAGCGGCCTCAAGATGGGCCGCTCTTCGTCCCTGAAGGGGCCCACGTCTTCACGGATGGCTCGGATTTTGCAGGGGTGCTTCCAGGACTCAGGGCCGCGGGGTGGGCCATCGTGGTGCTCGACAGCCAAGGTCGGACGCTCGCTGCATTGCTTGGAGTTGTGCCCTCCCTCGAAGCACCGGAACGGCTGGCGAAGGAGGGGGGGGGGGATTTTGCTGTGCTGATGTTGTCTCGCAGGGCGGTCCTAGCTCAGAATGTTTCCTTCTATGTGGGCTGTGCGGCCGCGGTCGGCTACCTCCGAAACCTCGCGGGGGCGGCTGGCGTCTCGTCGGCGCGGGCTCACTGGTGGGCCGAGATCGGGGACCGCTTGAAAGGCATGCAAGTTTTAAAATCCCCTCGCACACCTCGATGGTTGATGTGAGAGAAGGACGCATCACGGACTTGCAGAGATTCGGGAACTCGGAGGCCGACCGTCTCGCGAAGGAGGGAGCTGAGCCATTCCGTGCCTCCTTGAACGACAGACTCCGGATCAGAGGATATATGGCGTTCCTGCGCCGTGTTGGAGTGTTCCGCGCCAGCCAGCAAGTGGAGTGCAGGGAACTGTGCGTGCATGAAGTGAAATGGCTAAGCTACGTCCTGCTGGGTGCGGTTCCTGTGCCGCCCCTTCCCTGGGGCCTCTGTGACGGAGTCGGGGGCGCCTGGGGGCCCAGGGGCTCCTGGCCAGGCGGAGGGGCCTCCTGGGGCCCAAGGGGGCCCTGGCGAGCGGCCTCAGGATATCCCGCCCTCTCCGACCTCGGGAGCTCGGTGACAGCTTGGGCAGACCTTGGAGCAGGGTGATGTGTATGAGTCGGATGGTCCCACGTTTCATGACGCGATGCTCTGTTGCGCGGCATGCGGAGCCATGGCGCATTCCAGCGCGAAGCGGGGAAACCTGCGTTTGAGGTATCGGCCCTTGGCCCCTGGGGACCGCGCCATCTACATGGGCAAGTTTCGTGCTGGGCGATGTCCAGCCCGTCGGAATCCACGGGGACTGACGATGGCGTATGTGGGGCACCCCTCCCCAGGGGGTCAAGCGTGAGTGGGCCCCTTCTTTCTTCCGCCTGGCCCCAGGGTCTTCGGAGGCCCCCGAGGGCGAGGGGGGCCGCCAGGTCCAGCGGCCGTGTGCGCGAGGCCCCCGCCGTGGACCTCATCAGGGGCCTCGCGCTGATCGGCCTCGGCCGCGAGGACCTGGCCGCCTCGCTCGTTTTTTTCTTTTCTGTGCATGTCGAATGCGGTTGTGCCCTTGACGCGGTCGTGGGCGCCCCTCCTTGCTTCTGCCCTCCTAGTCGCCATCGCCATCATCATCGTCATCATCAGCGTCGTCGTTATCAGTATCGTCATGATCCTCATCGTCCTCATCGTCGTCTTCGTCATCATCATCACCACCGTCGTCGTCGCCATCACATTCAGGACCATCACGAGCATCAGCGCCATCCTCATCGCCATCGTCATCCTCGTCGTCAGCATTGTCGCCACCATCACCGCCGCCATCAACATCACCGTTATCATCTGAATCATCATCATCCTCATCAGCGTCATTACCATGGTCATTCTCATCATCACTACTATCATAAAAATACAAGTCACCAGCATCACCATCATCACCACCATCAGGTTCATCACCAGCATCATCATCAGCACCCTCGTACGCTTCAGCTTCAGCATCACCATCATCATCATCATCGTCATCGTCGCCATCGTCCCTCATCATCAGCACCACCATGACCATGACCATGACCATGACCATCACCATCGTAATCACCATCACCACCACCGCCATCATCAGCATCATCACCACCACCAGCAACATCAGCATCGTCATCGTCGTCACCACCATATTCATTACCACCAGCACCATCATCACCATCATCATCACGAGCATCGTCACATTCACCACCACCACCATCACCATCATCACCGTCATCATCATCATCATCATCCCCATCATCATCTTCGCTCACACACGCACACAACCCTCGCACGATTCGTGGCTCCATAGGGAGCTCCACCGAAGGCTCCAGTGGCAGGGTGCCCGAACCCGATTCAGCACACCCCTCACTCGTTTCGTGGCCCCATAGGGAGGATGAGGACGCGGGGTGTTGTCTGTCCAAAACGAGGACCCGACATCACAGGATGGTTGGGAAAGAAGGGAGTTTGTTCTCATTTCTTTCAAGCTCGACCCATCCCCTTCGTTCCCTCCGTTCCCCGGATTTAGCATGTCCCAGAGTGTGCTTCTGTGTTATCCGTCCCTCGCTGTTCGTTCTCCCTGGTATCTCTTTCCTGCTCCTGGCTCTCCTCCGTCCCCCGTTCCGCGTCCCTCTCCTCCCCCCCTCTTCCCTCCTCCCCGCTGCGTCCTTTTCCTCCTTTCTCCTCATCTCTCCTTCGCGCCTGCTTCTCTCCGCCTCCCTTGTGTCTTTTCGCCTCTCCAACGCTCTAAAACGGCGCAAGAGGCACCCAAGATGACCCAAGAGGTCCTCGCGACGGCCCGGGTACGACCCAAGTGTGCGCCAAGACGGCCCAAGAGGCCGCCAGGACGGCCCAGGAGGCCGTCAATGCGGCGCCAAAGCATGGGCGACAACGGGGACCGAAACCGACGCTTCGAGCGCAGGCGCCGAGAGCCCTGGGGGGGCCCCCGAGGCGTCCGTGAAAAGTCCTGGGGTGCCACAAGAAGCCGCCCACCAAAAACCAGAGAGGCCCCGCGCCCCAGAACCCCCCCGAAACCTTCCAAGAACGCCCCCCCCCCCCCCCCCCACAAAGGCGTCCAAAGAGACTCCCAGCGTGGTTTTGCCAGGCTCTGAGGGCCTTTCGAGCATCCCCCTTAGGCTGCCCTGGGTCCTCCTCGTGGCTGCCTTGAGCGACTTCCTGGAGCCTTATTCAGCGGCTCCTTCAGCGTCCATCAGGAAACGCGCCCCCGAGCCTGTGAGTTTGGCTTGGGCTGTGCTAGAAGCTAAGCGCGCGGTTCCAGTATATCTATACATGCAGGAGAGAGAGAGAGAGAGAGAGAGAGAGAGAGAGAGAGAGAGAGAGAGAGAGAGAGAGAGAGAGAGAGAGAGAGAGAGAGAGAGAGAGAGAGAGAGAGAGAGAGAGAGAGAGAGAGAGAGAGAGAGAGAGAGAGAGAGAGAGGAGAGAGAGAGAGAGAGAGAGAGAGAGAGAGAGACAGAGAGAGAGAGAGAGAGAGAGAGAGAGAAGAGAGAGAGAGAGAGGAGAGAGAGAGAGAGAGAGAGAGAGAGAGAGAAAGAGAGAGAGAGAGAGACATATAGAAAAAGAGAGAGAGAGAGAGAGAGAGAGAGAGAGAGAGAGAGCGAGAGAGAGAGAGAGAGAGAGAGAGAGAGAGAGAGAGAAAACGAGAGAGAGAGAGAGAAAGCGAGAGAGAGAACGAGAGAGAGAGAGAGAGTGATAGGGAGATCTGGGGGCAACCTATGTATGTATATATATATATATACAGCTCTGGCTCGAGCTCTTGTGGTCTCCAGAGCGGGGGCGCTATGCCCAGCGTCCTGCAATTCGGGCTATTGTGTCACACGCTGACGGCTCGCATGCGGCTTATATCTTGGAATCCGATGCCTCTGCAAGATTGCGACAGGCGCATCGAGATTTCACGAGAATTACAACATGTTGACGCGGTTTTGCTCTCTGGCACCCAGACCAAGACTATCGACGCCTACGACACGCACTCAACTACTGAGTTCCTCATGCTAAAGTTCGGCTGGCACCATTGCAACAAGAACACGACTGGCAGCAAATCATGTGGTACCGAGATTTGGCATAGCAGACGATGGTTCCGGAAATCCCATATTGTGAAGGTCTGCCAGACGCCCGCGGCGATTCGTGGCAGAGTGGGTGCGGTGCGAGTCAAAAGCTCCCAGTTCGACTACACATTCATCGCGGCGCATTTTCCACCTCGCGCTCCTCGCCGCACCACGGCGACCAAGCACGAAGTGATCGTGGACAAGATTACTGCCCACCTGCGCGACGTCCTCGCCAGCCTGCCGAACCGCACCTGCGTTTTCATCGGCGCGGACCTGAACGACGGCCTCAAGCGCGACATCTCCACGGTGGACGAAAATGCTACGATTGGTGCATTCGCCAGCGGCCAACAGCACTATGCTGGTGGCGCCTTCCACGCGCTCCTGAAGGACTACGCCCTGTGCGCGACCAACACGCGCCACCGGTGCGGCCCGACGCGCCACGGACTCAGAGGACACACCAGTTAGATCGGCTACATCGTGATGCCGATCCGTTACCTTCCTCGTGCACGCAGGCACAACATCGCCTGCCGCCTCACTAAGCGACTTCGAGCATTTCCTTCGCAACGGCTGCTTGATCACATGATGTTGTATATCGACGTGGACTGTTCCCTCACGTACGACAAGCCCAAGACGCTACCGCAGTGGGACTTCGCTCGGATCTTCCCCGCTTCGCACGACGAAAGGTACCGCTGGTGGGCGAAGCAGCTCCGCGACGACATCGAGAGAGACTTGACGAACCTCATGCACGAGTACGGGCACAGAGATATGGCGGAATGGGCAGAAAGGCATACGACGGAAGACGGATGGCAGCAGCTTCTGGCAGTTATCCGAACGAGGGCGCTCGAACTTTTTGAAAATCCGAATATTGATCTTGAATATCAGCAGCTTGCCTTACTACGTAGACAAGGCCTACGCGCGCGAACACTCGCGAGGCAGAACTCGACCGACGACCTTGGGAGCGCGATTGTACTTCGCCGCTGCAGTTCAGAATGCAAGCTACTACGGCGACGATTGCGCGACCACCGAGACGAACAACACTTTCAGGAACTGCAGCAAGCCGAAGAAGCTGGTCTCGAAGTGGAGGCCTGGCGCGCTTGCCGTCGCCTCGCTGGGAACGGCAAAGGACCTGGGAGGCGCTGTGATTTCGACCTGCCCGACGCCCGCCCCTCGACCCAAACGTGGACATAAGATATGGCACTACCTGGCGCTGAAGGTGGCAGGGAAGCCACACCTATCGATATCGACCATATCATCGGCAACGCAGCTGAACATGACGAAGGTTTTGCCCTTCGGCTCATCAGTGGCTACACGCTCAATATGACATGACATCGGTACAGAGACGGCTACGAAAGCATAGCAAACGACGACGAGCTGCACCTGAATGGCCACTTCCAGCTGATGTGTGGGCACTCCTCCTTGTGGACCGCAGCGGAGACCAGAAGAAGAACGGCTGGCCTGAGTATGAGCCATCGATGCGTTTCCCTGGACCCCTCCTTGGTGGCGCTATTCTCACACAACTTGCAGCAGTACGGCAACACCAACGATTGAATGCATGGTGGTACTTCTCCCAGACCTACCAGGTAAGCAAGATGAATAACACACCGCGAACCCGAGGCACACGGCTACTACACGGACTATGCCCCTTTGGCGAATTCTGGGTTTCACCACGGCAGATTCTGACTACCACGCCTCTGGGTGACACTGAGCACGGGTACGCGCGTGCCAGATCGAGACCAGAAGCTATTACTGTAGGTCTGGCACTCCAATGGCGACTCCAACACATCCGCAAGAGCCACATCTCCACCAAGCACGACATGACGAATGCGTTCGCCTCCGTCGCCCGCCCGAACTTGGATGCCGCCGTCGGCCAGATCTACTTCCCTGGCGACTGTACGATCATGAATGGACGACACCGAAGAGCTGCCTGTGTCATCAGCGACGGCATCAACTCCCAGTGTTACCAGAACCACGTGGGCTGCTTCATGGGTGACGCTGACGCTGCCATCAAGTTCCGTGTGTCGTTCAAGCCGCCTGCCAACGCTTGGAGCGCCTCGATTGCCACGGACGCGTCATCCTCCTTGGTTGCGGGCTGCGAGTTCCCGGGCACCAACGTCGAACTCAGCGTTCGTAAGTGCGCCGGCGGCCTCGCCAATGCCCACCTGTGCACGGACGCGCAGATGGCGGCCTACAAGGTGCACAATTCTGACACGATCCTCAACGAGAAGCTGAGCACCATCGGACTACAGCAGAACGCGGGCAAGAAAGCTGTACCCCCGACCTTCATTGGACCTGGAGCTCATCGCTACGCACGTGCACTGCACTATGGTAAAAGACACGTTGACGGCGAAGTGCACTCATCCACGCTCTTCCTCGGCTCTCTTATGCAAGCGAACGGCCTGAATCGCGCCGAGGTGCGTGCACGATGTGCAGCTGCTGCTCGCGGATGGAGGGGCATGGGGCGTTTCTGGCATTACTGCAGGCAGCTGGGTCGACGGAAGCTAGTTTTCAGAAGCCAAGTTTATTCCGCAGCTGTCTCAGGACTCGAAGCCCGTGTCCTCCGCAAAGCGCAGCTCGCTCAGATCGACGCCTGTGTCGCCCGATACGCCCGAGCACTCCTCCAAGGCACAGCATGTATCAAGCAGTCTGTAGACGGCGCCGACCCGTCTGCAACGATCGAGGTGGTCCGCAACATTTCATCGCACGCAGTTTGGAAAAAGTGGAAGATGGCCCCTCCGTCGATAGTTATTCAGATTATTCGAATCACGAGATGGCAACGCGCTGCTCGAGAACCGACACGCCATGCGCAGTTGCTCGCAAGTGTCTTTGGACCGCTGATGTGCGAAACCAGCCAGACTCTGGAACTTCCCTGGGCACCAGTCCGACCCACGAGCGACGACGCCCACAAGGACAACCCGTGGAGGAAACAGTTCGTGGACAATATGCAACTGCTGCAGGTCTTCGCCGACGGCCGCGCCTGCCTCGACGTCATAGGCGATGACTTACTGGATATTTTTCGGCCGACCGCGGGCAGGGGCGTTTTTTTTTTTTTTTTTTTTTTGTTTGTCTCTCTCTCTCTCTCCCCTTATATCTATATATATATCAAGCTCGCGGTGGCGCGACTGCGCAATTGGTGGTTGGAACAGGCCGCCCCAGCACGCAGAGCTCCAGATGCAACTGTCAGCTGGAACTGCCCCCACACGTGCGGCCTGCTCTGTGAAGATGGTGCGGTATGTCTGTTCGCGGCCGAGACAAAACAAGCCCTTCGAGTGCACCAAACGATGAGCGGGGAGGGGGGCGAACATGGTCGTATATGCGAAAAGTCGCGATTCACGATTACTAACCAATGCCCGAACTGCCGATCGACTTTCGCTAGCCGGCAGACTGCGATTAACCGCCGTGCTGCTGCTTATTGGTCTGGACAATGCCTAAAACATCGGTCGGTCGATCCGCTCGATCAGCTCTCTGACCTGTGGCTCCTTGGTGTCGAACTGTTTCTTGAGTTCCTCGAGCCCAGCCTTGATCCGCTCGAGCTCGGTCTTCTCGCCATCCTCGAAGTCGAGGTCGGCGACCTCCGCGAACAGGCCCTGATCCCAGGTCACAGTGAAGGCGGCCTGGCGCTCCTGCGGCGACTGCCCCGCCTCGGAGCTGCCGATGCCCTCGGCTTTGGCGAGTGCCTCGGCCGCCTTCTTCTTCACAGACTCCGCCTTGGCCACCTGCAAAGCGGCTTCGGTCTCCTTGGCCTCTGCCGTAGCAAGGCTAGCACGGAGCTTGATCACATTGTTGACAATCTGCGTATGTCGGTTGACAGCAGCGCGCCATGCTCCATCTGCTTGGCGCGTGTACTCAACCTCGGACCCACGGGGCTGTGCTGCGTTGTCCGCAGTGACAGCGCGCCGTGTAAGCTGCGCCTGCAGCAGGCCCTTTAGTTGCGGGTCCTCGGCGGCAGCGAGAGCCTGTCGAAGATGGACTGACAGGTGGTCGCCGCTGTGGCTGTCGCTGTGGTCACGGTCGCCGCGGCTGCGCGATGAGCCTCGGCCTCCGCGCTGGGTGGTGGTGGACCCGTCGATGGCAATGACTTCGGCCTGCTCGTTGATACGCACAACCGACGGCGACCTCGAGCGGCCAGCACGATGAATCCTTATTGGCCGACTGCATCGAGGACAATGCGGCTGTTCAGGGTCGAGCCCGTCATTGTACTCGCATGCGTGGCAGGCCTTGCATCTGCTCCAAAGCCTGTTCGAGCGGCGGGCAGGGAATGTCATGAGCCCCAGCTCTGGTTGACCCCGAAAGCGAGAAACTGGTCTTGCTGCGGGGAAATTCCTCAAGCACCACGGGAAGGTACTGGGGCAGCTCAGGTGGTGCAAAATGCGCCTGAACCGTAATGGCTTGAGAGGAGGAGGGGGAGGAGGAGGAGGAAAAGGAGGAGGAGGAGGAGGAGGAGGAGGAGGAGGAGGAGGAGGAGGAGGAGGAGGAGGAGGAGGAGGAGGAGGAGGAGGAGGAGGGGGAGGCGGAAAGAGAGGAGGACGCCACAGAGCACGCACACCACTGAAAGACGCACGCGCGAACTCAGTGTGAAAGCCTCGCGAGCGCGTTCTGGAACCCCGAGGGGCTTCACAGTCCCCCGTTCTCGAGGAGGAGATGAAGGAGGAGGAGGAGGAGGAGGAGGAGGAGGAGGAGGAGGAGGAGGAGGAGATGAAGGGGATGATGCTCATGATGATGACGATGAGGAGGAGGACGAGGAGGAGGTGGGTGCAGGAGGAGGAGGAGGCGGACGGATGGGCGAGCAGGAGTCACATGCAGCAGAAGCGCCATCAGTGAGCCCGGCGCGACCGCAATTATGGAATATTTTCGTTTGAGGGACAGGTTGATGCTGCGTATGGTTCGTGACATGATTTGCTTTGCTTTGCCCTGTTTTGCTATGGCACGCTATATCCGGCCATGGTGTGCTATGATTTGGTTGGCACCATGACTGCGGCATTCCAGCCACTCCGCACCGTACACCCTCTTCCGAGGCGCCCGTGTCACATGCTGCCCTGGGCGGTTGTGTGAGATGTTGACCTCACGCTGCTCTGCCATTGCTGTGCCATCTGCCACCGTGTGCCCTGCCATGCTGTGCGCGCTCCTCCGCACCATCCTCCCCCCCCCCACGGCGCCCGTGGCCAGTGTTACGGGGTGAAGTGGGAGGGGTGGATGCGACGGGGAAGGGGGGATAATGTAGTGGAGGAGAGGGGGCGGGGGAGGTGTGATCCTCTGGAGGGGGCTCCGCATTCGTAAGGGGCGCTTTTCCTGGCGGCCTTCGTGCTGGCCGCAGAGTCGTCCTGCTTTTTGCCCGAGCATCTGGTGCAGGCGTGGTGTGGCGCTGCGAGCTTGCCGGCTCACGATGTCTGGAGGGCGGTTCCAGTAAAGGTGGGAGCTAAAAGTGGGAGGGAGCTGGGGCTCAACACACCAAAACCTGTCGCCGACCAGCCGCAAGAGCAGAAAACTAGCGAGATATGAAACGCTTTTGTTCATGACGCAGCGACGCCGCATCTTCTCTCCACACCCGTCCGCGCGCTTCAGGGCAGCGATCGTCACAAATTGCGGTGCGCGGGGGAAGGAGCCTGATTATTGCAATGCTGGCTCTTTCTTGATGACCCTGTTCGCAGGGGGAGCCTGGCTCGGCGAGGCGTCTTTCAGATTCTGCAGCGCAGTTCTATGCTATGCGATGTCATGCCGTGCCATGCAATGTATCCCTGACCCCCCTGGGTCACCCCCAGTGAC